AGCTCTGGCTAAACATGTGGTTTGGTTTGTGGGGGTGTCGTTCAAATAAGCGTGAACGGACCGCGGGATAACAACTTACACGAGAGGGCCAACGAAGGTGGGTGCCTATTATCTCCTTAGCGATCGTAATGCTTGGCGCTACTCTGCTCGGGGTGAATCTGAATGAATGAACCTGCATTCAAGGAACTTTCGTAAAGTGAAGAGGTCCCTGGGCAGTTCTTCCGCGAACACAGCGAGCTTTTTTCCTGGCCCCAAGGCCGCCTTTGGTTTCCAGGACATCCTCTCCTCCCTGCCGCCGCCTGTTTTGCGCCCCGGGAGGGCTGTCCGGGGCGCAAATCCGGGGCTCTAAATCCTAGAAAGGATTTAGAGGAGCTTCAGCCTTTTTTTTTTTTTTTTTAAGGTCTGCTGGATTGCGACCAACGTCTGCCACGAAACAGCGACCCCCAGCTGTCAAAGGAGAAGTGGACGAACAGGTTTTCCTGCTCAGTCCAGACATCGCTTCCAAAACCACCACCGTTCTAATAGCGAAGGAACGGGAGACACGAACCCCAAGTTTTTGCTACCGCTGAGAAAGACACAGACCAAGCCACGCTTCCTCCAAGGCGGCCGCCCTCCAGAGGTAGCGGAATACAACCCCCAGAATCCCCCGGTCCCTCTGCTAAGGTTGGAGCACCCGACGTTAACGGCCTGCAGTCCCTGGCTGAGATCACACCTCCCATAAAGCCCGGCGGAGGTGCACACTCCAGTTCCCTGAAGGAACCGCCGGATCCAGGTTTGCAAAACCTTCCACGTGAGCGACGTGTCATTGTGTCCCGGGGCTTTGGAGCGTTAAATCTTCGAGCTTCCGAAGCCTCCGGAACGGAGCCAGGCTCCACGCGCGGTGGGACTTTTCCTGATGGAAACGGGGAAAGGAAGAGGCGGCGGAGGAAAGATTGGGCTGCATCCTGCCCCAATATCCACCCAGGAGTAGCCCCCCCCCCCGGAGAAAACTGCGTGGCTGCTGGACACGCTGTGGCTATCGGAGCCTCAGGCGGCTGACCGCAGTAGCTGGGAGACACCAGAAAAATCCGTATCGGGGTGTACTACCCTAAGCTGGCCACTAGGGGTGACTTGATGACGGCGCCCTACTACCAGGAAGTCAGGCTGGACTGGACACACGCGACCGAAAGAAATCCTTCTAATGCCGATCTTAGCAAGGCAAGTCTCGGAAACTGCTGACGAAGCCAGGGCCCGGAATTTGGAGGAAAAGTGAAAAGCAGAACAAAGCTGCTCCAGCTGGATTTATCAGTTCCGGATTTGAATTTTGCAGGAGTGTTGTTCCATTGAACAGGAACATTTGAAGTCGATTAATCTACCAGCATTTGAAGAGTCCTGCATTCAAGGCTTCATCATAGCATATTTTAAGTTAAAGTCGAGATGCGCAGTGATTTTTTTTTTTTTTTTTGCCATCCCGGTTTATTCAGTGTTCTTTATTTTGCTTCCTACACTATAACCAGCCTTCCAGAATCCAGTTGCTGTTATCAATTTTCCAGCCAAAATTACCCATGAGAAAGGAAACAGTCAAGGGTGTTAGAATAGGAATATCTTCGTGGTAAGACGGGGCAAACAAATTTAAACAAAAATAGTATTCTAAATAATTTGCACATGTTCACCCAGGAAAATGTACTGTAAGGAACTGCTCTTGCAGGATGCAATTAGAAATGTAACTTCATTACCAACCTGGAGCTTTGTTAAAGTAAAATAAGTCAATTAGATCTGGTCTTCCATTAGCTTGACTAAATGAAACAAGGTGGGTTTCATATTTCATTCCCCTGAACTTTTACACCGCATTCCTCCTCAGAAGATTATTTATGTTTCTTTTTTATGGTGTCATTAAACAGCTGCTAATCCCAAGGACAGGCTACAAATACACCACAACATTGATAATAAAGGACAGTGTAAATATCTTGTAACATTAAAAATGCATTTTAGATCTCATTAAACATTTCTGATAGTGAAGTATTCTAATTCAATCTTGGTCTACCTTTAAGATTAATGCCAGCTGCAAATTATAACAAAAAAGACCCATAATCTAACATAACCATGGGCAAAATTATTGCTTGAAACTTTTTTTTATCCACTGGTTATTTGGTAGTTCCTTGTGTGCTGCAGAAAAGGCCATACTACTTTCTGCAAGGTTTGTGAAAAACTATCAGTTCAGTGCTGAAATTGCACACACCACAAAGAAAGGATAAAGCAAACTGCATAGAGCACATCCCAACCCTATTAATTTAGATTTTGGGAGGAGAGGGGTTGTAATAAGGAGTACTTTGAAAATCCTCTAAGAACACTATATGTTATTGCATCAGTGGCTATATGCTTTAATATTCTTCAAATCTGCTGATTGAAGCCTCTAATGTTTTTCTCATCTACTGCTTCTGAAGCCTATATCAGCAGGTATTTTTATACTGGTGAAGTTAAATAGTCTTTAAGCTGAAATTATATACAGAAGTTTGGAAATAAAACCCATACAATACAGTGCAATTTTATTAAACGTATAAGATTTGCATTGTCAGTAAAATATGTTATAAATGAATTAATATTTTAAGATTAAGAATAGGGAAACAAAGTAATAGTGAAAAGGCTATCCAAATGAGGCAGAAGAAGCCACAGTTAAGTTAAAAAAATATTTATTGATACTAAAACAGAGAATTGAAAGTTATACAAAAACTGTCCAGCATAATGTCGTCTAAAAGTTCTTTTAAGCTGGGAAATAAATTAAACAAAACAAACAGAATAGTAATCCCAAGTCTAAACTAGAGTAAGTGGCAAGAAGACGGGGAGATAGACATTACACAACAGAACCAAGCAAGCTACACAGCCAGGGTCAAACAAATAAACCCCAGTGCAGCAGTGAACCCACAGTGAGATCAGTGGACAGACACTGCTGTCAGCCTTATTTAATATTCTGCCTGGAAAGTCTGTCCCACTCAAACAAAGAAGCTAAGCTTTCCCAGGGTAATAACATCCCCAACTTTTGTTCTCTTAGTATAAAAGCAAAGAAGCAGCTCCAGTTAAAGCAATTAGAAAATGTCATACAAGAACTATTTGGCTTTTTTAAAAAATGGAACATACAGTGGTTGACACACATTGCAAGAAACACTGAACCGATTCTTACGAGTCTCTTGCGGAGGCATTTCGCTGAGCTCGGAGCAGAATAGAGTGAATATTTATTGGAGTAGTAGAAACACTGCAATATAAAGTAACTCTGTTCCCCTTTAGTTTTTGGTACTGCAGTTATTAATGTTGATCACGAGACTAAACAGCACTTTTGCTCACTGTAAACAGTGTAACTAAGTTATTCCAAAACAAAAATATTTACCCAATTAATGGAGAAACACACCTGTTATAAAAAGTTTTTAAAACGTAGAATAGTAGCAACAGAACTTTTAAAAGAAATTTGCTACATAGATAAAATACGCACAGAAGAGGCAGAGCAACAAGCCTAAGAAAAACATGTAATAAAAAGGGACAGTGATTATCATCAAGTTCAGTTGTCTACCCATTGCTGATAAAATCGAGTCCTTAACTAGAGAACTCACATGCACCATCTGCTTACACGAGGTTAGTTGTCATTTTGGAATTCAGTTGCATGTGCAATATACAACTAAGAAAGAATATGGCAACTTGCTCATTCAGGTTGGCATTTAGGACTTTAGACTTTGAAACTGAAATAGCTGGTTAACCAAAAGGCACAACAGCATTTGAGCTTCTGAGGGAGAGCAACATTTCAGTTTTCCAAAGAAGCTGGAGATGAGAAAGAAGCTTGTTTTCAATGGAACTGTCTGAAAAGCAGAATTAAGGATCTGTAATAGAGATGGGGGGGCGGGGGGGAAATGTTTCTCTGTGAGAGGAAATGGTCGCACACATTATAGATCACAGTCTGAGAAAAAATGAGTATGGAAAATGAACAGAATCAGAAGCGACTTGTGAAACTTAAAGAACAAGACAATACTGCATGTAGGCTAATAGAAGCAGCAGTCCTGCAGAGAGTAAAGTAACACAGGTGCATATGTACACATACATATGCAGCATAACAAGGACCTGAGAAATGGGGCTGGGGACAACGGCTTTGTGGGAGGAACTCCAATTTCTGAAACCACTGAATTCTTCAAGTCGATAAGCAATATTTGCCAATATTTTAATGGAATTTTCTTCTTTGGGAAAAGACAATAGCTTCGACAAGAAAGGGTGTGGTGGGGTCTAATAGAAAACTGACTTCATTTAACCAAATTGCTGGGCATCCTCCTCTTCTGACTCTGCTCCAGAATCTTAGTTCTCCACAGAAATATCTACTTTGGCAGAATTATCAAAATATTGTCAACATACACACAGAATTAAAAGGCACACAATAGAAGTTAAAAAGAATTTAGCCAAGGACAGCTCCAACAGGAGGTGCATAACAAAAAAACTGAGACAGGCACACATTCTCAACTAGGTTGGGATGTACCAATTGCTACAAAGAACACAGGCTATTTATCTTCATCTGGGCATTACCTTGACTATCCAAATTTGGCAGGTTTTACCAAAGGCATTTAAAGGATTGACTAAGACGGCCCCTTTATTAAACAATGATAGCTTTAGAGTAAGTGGACAGAAGAAACCCCTAGAAAATGTTGGGTGCTCTAAAGAGATTAGTTGTTGAGGTGAGGAGACTTAAAAAAAAAAAAACCACAGAGAGAGGGAGGGAGGGAGGGAGAGTGAGAGAGAGAAAATGGGAATTGCATAATCTGACTCAGGAATACACAACTTGGATTAGGAGTACTGCACTAATTGCAATGGAGAACAAGGGCGAAAAGACAGCATCTGTTTAAAAGCACTGAATCGAGCAAGTCATACAAATCTACGATTCACAACAAATGCCTTGTTTTCTTACGTTGTCAGGGTGTTTGTAATATAGCTACTAGATGGTTTCTTTTACATGATAAGTCACATTCTCACAGGAGATTTCCCCCCCCCCCCCCCTGATCTAAACAAAGAATATTTTTGGAACTAATATGGTGAGCTGAACAAATATGGTGAGCTGAGAGCCTAGGCAGCCCAGGACTCAAACCAGATGGGTTATATGAAAATGCTACCTGAAAAACATTGTATTAAGCCTGATGCCTGACCCTTGGAGGCATTCTACCTAGCTGCAGGCCCTTTGGAAAATCCTGGCTCAACCTGTCACCTTATTCAGCAGCAGTGCACATCAAGAGGCATAAGCTTAAGGAACTAGAAGCACTGTTTGCAGAAGACTCATTCGGTGCACTATTATAACCCGGCATATCAAATTTTAAATTACAGCTGCATGGAAGCAAATCTCATGGACTTCCTTGGAATTGTTTTCTATGTGAGTAAACTTTGGTGAAAAAGATACGCTTCCATGTCAATGTATTCAACAAAATTATATTAGCTAACATAAGCATGAGCAATACTTTATCCCTGATAAATTTGCTGTCTTGCCTTTTCTTAACTTCACTTGCTCGTATGGCAGCAGCGCAAATATAAAAGAGAAACTACAGTACGAGCAAGAAAAGTAGTAGGCTACGCCAATGCTTCAAACAATCCAAAAGTCTGGAAACCATTTACTGAGTCACATCACAACCTACAGACAACAGACTATACTGTGGTCTCAACATACAGTTTTGAACAAAACCTTTGCATTGCTTTACCTTGCCATGGGTCTGATAAACAGTGGTCCAACATCATGTACTTTATGACTTTGAAAGCTGCAAAAATACCCATTTCAATAAAATTCCTTGTCAATTTAACATTCCCTGTTTCTGTTTCTTTTTATGCTAGGAGTATGGGGACTTAGAATTACACTATTGGAACAGTCAAATTGTGATAGAGCTTGACCGTCAATTGACTTGACCGAGCTTAGCACTTCCCAAACTTAGACCAGGGCTCTTGACCAACAGGAAGCCCCTGTTCTGAGAGAAATAATAGAAACCTAAACTGAACCATCACTTCAGAGAGCAGGTAGCCTAAAATAAACATAGCTTCTAGGATGTTTTCATTCCAGTCTATCCTCTCTGGTTTCATACATTACCTTCGTGGTCAAGGTAATGATAAAGCCATCCCTTGCTGGAAGAATAAAGCAAAGAGAAATTTCAATCATTTCTGCCCTGTATAGTGATGCCCTGTGGCAGAATTTAATTGGGAAATACAGGACATATATAGAGATCAAATAAAAATAAATGGCAGTTTGTATCACAATGTTATCTTGCCACCTGCAATACTTTTTTGTAGTTATTGCAAGTAAGAATAAATAGAAAGATATCACCAATAGAAGATAATATTTGTACCTCAGGGTTAAATTGTGGAGTCCTAGATGCTCCTTGAGCTTGGTCATTTGCTTGCAGATGTTTCATTCTCTCACTACATGACACCATCAGTGCTAGTGACTCTGGTGTTTGCTCCATCTTTTTATAACAGTACAGTAATTTGCCCTGGCAGTATGGATGGGGTGTGTGGCCCCACATTCAGACAGCTGACACCACACTCAGTAGCACTGATGACGTTACCTAGTTTGGTAAAGAAACGTCTGCAAGCAAACTCCCAAACTCAAGAGAGCATTTAGGACTATAGAAAGATATCAATTGCATAGAAACCTCAAAAACCTGCCTTCTAGTTCCAAAGATTCTCAACTCAATTTGAACAGCACACATCAATAGTATTTTACCTCACATTATAAGGCATCTTATGCTTATAAAATCTCAACATCAGCAAAATCTCTTAATTTTGCTTCCTTCCCGTTTCTTCTGTGTAAGCAATAGCATGCAAAATGTGTATACGTGTGCATGTGTGCGTGAACACGCTGGGGACCCACAAGTGATCTCAACCACATAAGCATATAGCAATTTCTCAGAACACATGGCTTATTTAAGCAATGATTTACACATGTCACATTTTACATGGAACTGGTTTCCATATAAAATTTTCCAATATGTAAAAATCTCCTGAATTACATGTGTGTACACTCACGTACACACCAGATGTTAAAAATGAGACAGCATTCTCCTCTGAGTGACATCTGCTGACATTTGGCAAATTGAAAAACATGTTGTCTTTTCAAGTTCTTGAGAACATTATTCTGCAGTTCTCCAACGTTGGTTTCCTGTATCTGCTGATATATTTGGCAGAATGAAAAGCATACTTTCTTTGCAAGTTTTTGAGACACTAGTCCAAACAAGTTAATTGCTACTTCTGAAGTTTCTACAGATCAATGCTCAACCTGAACCACACTCACTTGATAGCTGTTAGTCCCAGCTCCACACCAATGCTGTCTTATATATCATACCCTCTAGTTTCCAAAGCAAGTTGGAAGTATGACTTACATACATTCCCTTAAGACAAACTTTTTATATGGCGCTTGGCAGGTATCCTAAATATAGATTTGTTCACAAATTTTCAAACTAACGTAATTTGTTCTAGGAGCTGAGAAGTGTTGAAACTTCATTATTTGGAAGAAAAATAAGGAACTATTTTTCTTAGAGAACCTATTCAGGAGAATGTGTGTGTGTGTATACACACACACACACATACCAGTATATATTTATTCTCTTGAATGTTTAAAATCCTCTGGCCTTTCAAAATCATATAGCTAAAGTGTTCAAGTACAGCAAAGCATGGAGTTGTAGTTTTCAATACACTCCACTGCATTGGCGAGCAACATGAGTAAAGCCAAAACTCTTGAAAAAGAGCCCCTAACCTTATTTCTCTGGTTGCTAACTACTGTGGTTTGCTTCTCCTTCTAATATCCAAGGGGACAGTAAAGGGAGATTCAAATGAGACGGGAGGAATAATGCTTATCTGCCTTGGAGCTCAATAATGTCTTAGGTTAAAAAAGCCCACACTTGTCGGCGACTCCTTAACAGTTACTGTGATCAAATTAGCTGTCACATCTGTGACAGAAACATGTTCAATAAGACTCCGGGTAGGTTTCCAGTCTTGGTTTGTCTGGATGGAAACAGATGTATTCTGGTCTGCTCCAGGAAAAGAAGCAGAATCTCTGTCAGAATCAGAGCTAGTCTCCTCTTCTCCGGTGCTCCCTTCTGACATGCCTGAAGTCTTGTCTTTTGTGGGACATCCCTCCTGGGCACAGGTAGTATTACTCTTGGTAGCTGCATCTCTCTCACTAAGAGCTGCTCTTGGTGCTGGTTTCTCACCTTTGCAAGGATCTGCATCTGCTGATGTTGCCCCTGTGCTGGCGATGTTCTGGCTGCTCCCCGACCCGCTGCCCTTGGATGCACTTGTCTTTGTTGCTAAACTGTTGCCACTGCTTTTGCCAGCTGCCCCGCAGCCATGGTGAGAAATATGGCTGCTGCTGGCAGAGTTTGGCCCATTCTTCACACTTTGCAGATTTAAAGCTTGTAGGTTGAGCTCTTGGTTGCAAGCTGGCTGGCCGCTGGGAGATCCAGAAGGAACTTTGTTGCCGTTCTGCAAGTTCCCCGCCTTTTGTTCCCCCAAGGAACTGCCACTCGGTCTCTTGGTCACTTTGGATCCTTGCACAGTCAATTCCAGGTTTCCAGAACCTTTCTGGTTTTTCAGTTTTAAATCCAAACCTAGGCTGTTCTTGCAGGACATAGCTGACTTCAGAGTCAGTCGTCCCACTGCAGAGGCATCTGCGGAGCTCTGGTTCTGTGACATCCTACTCATATAATGGACAATGGAGCTTTGCCAGCTGATACCGCAATTTGGGCTTCCAACGGTAGTATTCTTCACTAGGTTGGAGAGGTTTTCATTGGAGGATGCTCCAGAACAAAAGCCACCGAAGGTACCTTGGGCTTCCTTCATGTGAGATTTAAGCATGGCAATGCCAGAACTTTGAGCATTGTGTTGTGGCGGCATCTTGCTTGCCAGTTTGGACCCCCCTCCCCCTCCCCCTAACTCCTTTCTATTTGTTTTAAGCACCTTGGTTAGGTTGACTGTCCTCTTGGCTGCCTTCTGCTCTGGAGGCAGCGGCTTCCGTCCACGTTTCTTCCTAGCGGAGTCCTTGTTTTCGGGTTTGGCAACTAAAATCTGAGCTTTTTTTTGAGGCACTGGGTGACTTTCTCTGTTCCGCTGACTTCTCTTTGTCTCAAGGTCACTTTCATCCTCCTCGTCAGAAGAGGAAGTCGAAGAGGAGGTGGAGGAGGAAGAGCTGCTGGATTTGCTCTTGGAGGGTGCTTCAGGTTCCTTTAAATACAGACAAAACAGAATGACAGCAACATGAATATGGTCCACTTATTCAATAATCTTGCTGAAACTATATTCTCTGAAATACGATTTACATGATCAATTTTCTGTCTGGATAACAGTTTATTTTTCAGAACCAACAGAATTTGCTTTTATAATTTGCTTATTATATTTCAATAGGGAAAAGTTTCTTGTTACAGACTTGTATTTTCCTAAGTAAAATTAGATGTTTATAAAGGTGAATAAAAATATTGACTCCAAGTGATAGGAATCAAACTAAACTGCACAAGAGATTACCAGGCACCACTGCAGGTGAACTCCAGCTATCTACAAGCAAGAATGCTCCCGTGACTGCAATTTCAATGAGTCCTATAAACCACCATTACTTACAACGTTTTTTCTTGGTCTGCCTCTGGGTCGTTTGCCTCTTTTCCGATTTTGTACCTCTTTCTCATGTTCCCTGGGAAGACAGAAAGTTATCCTCTTACTTTTCTTTTTCGGCAGAAGATGCCTTATTTTTGTTTTCAGACAAATTCACTATAAATTTCACAGGAATCTTGTGATCCATCCAGAGTGAAATCCTTCTCAATACATAGGAAAATGGATTACCAACACAACACAAATTTGCTTGTTTCTTATATAAGAGTATGCTGTATCACAAATCATCAGAGTTCAGTTAGAATTTGGCCACTGCTATTCCGTCATTACACTTCAATGGATCATTCTGTTGTAGTGAAGACTAGGTTCAATGAATTCTTCTCTATTATGCTGAAATATTTTGTCATTCCCTCCAAGATTTTTGTGCGCAGAAATAAATTATTCTGGTTTTGCTGCTGTGCAAAGTATATTTATAATATTAATGGCGCAATTTAAAATGTATTCATGATAATACTCCCTCTAGATAAATTTTTAAGATAAAGTACTGACGTTAAAAACCTGGGAATGACTTTTTAACCAGCGAAACACCTGTGTTTAATTTTTATTTGTATGCATTTTGTACATTTTCAAAGAACACCGATTTAAGTATACAAACAGCTACAAATAAAAAACATTGTATTACATATCAAATATACACACCACATATGCAGAAAGATATGATCAAAAGTAATGGTGATGTTACTTAGATGCAAAACAAAAACAAACCCATAAACAAAAACTTTTGAAAAGAATTCAGTGCGGAAAATTGCTACGGAAGACCAATAATTGCACTGGATTTCAGAAGATGAATGTTTCCAAACAGGAAGAACAAATCTATCCAGAATTTTTGGGATTACTCAAAACCACATTTGAAGTTCAGCTTGTATCTCTATACAGCAAGTAATGAAATAAATATACATAATCCAGTGGTATCGAACAAATGGTAAAAATATTGTTTCTGTGGGAAAATGTGAGTTTAAGGCTTGCATAAGGCAATGTATTCATTGAATTATGAAAAATTATTAGGGAAGGATAAGGACTTTTCAGAAACACTTAATGATACTTTGCACCTGTCTTTATTACGGAAGTAGATTGGATGTACCAGCCTGTAGTTATATTTTCAAGTTGGGAACCCAGGGAAGAATCATTAGAGAATATTACAGAAATAAAATACAAAAATATTGCTGTTCTAAGAAAAATATTAAAATATTTTATAGTACCATTTGCAGAGATTTCCAAAGTGGTCAAGGCAATATTCACATTAAGAAGAGCTGCAGAGAACAAGGCTAAATAAAATGTAATACTTATTTAAAGTAAATCATTAGAAAAAATATTTCAAATATTTGGAATTTAAAAAAGTTATTTTGAGAACCTACAAGCAATAGTTAGAGGTACAGTGAGTGATGTGATAGTGTGTTATTAATTCTTTGTATGAAGTACACCGGTGGATATAGATGATCCAGCAGATGCTGTTTACTTTCAAAAGATGCTTGACGAAGTCCCTTATGAAAGATTTCCAAGAAAATATATCAGCTGCTGGAGGGGTAGAATGGTCCCTCTTTGGTAACCTTTGGGAAAAGAATGCTGGACTAGACTGGATTGTTTAACATACTACAGCTTCCTTACATTAAGGCTAAATATCCATGATGCCTTCTCCAAGAGCAGGTCACAACAAAACGAGGATGAATCAGTATGTATTAGCAGAAATCCCAGAAACAGAACCCACCATTGCTAGATATACCTAATACACAGACAGACACTGGTACCAATCCTGGGACTGGCATGAAGGAATGACTTTCTCTAGTACAGTTTTTTGATTCTTCAGAGACACCCAACATGTTTAACTGCCTTTATACTTTCTCAGACCTCTAGCAATTGTCTGGTCTCTTCCAGAACTGCCTTATGCAAATTGTTCCGATATTTTTTTCTGGTAAATGGGGATAAATTTATCTTTAAAGGAATACTGGGACTATTTATTTTGATAATGTTAAGTCTTTTCAGGTAGTCCTTGATGTACGACTATATGTTTAGTAACCGCTAGAAGTTACAATGGTACTAAAAAAGGCACTTATGACTAGTTCTCAAGCTTACAAATGTTGCAGCATCCCCACAGTCACGTGACACATATTTACAATCTTTATACCATTCCAGTGTAGTTGGGATTCCATTCCACACCAGTTGAGATTTAGATATCTCGGCAAATTCCTATTACCATTAATGGAGATTTGCCTAAGCTGTGCGAGATTCAAAAGGACATGAAGGATGTCCTCTGCTTCCTTTGCTTTTTATTTTAGTCTTGGAGGTTTTAAATAGAGACATCAGAAAAGATTAAAAAAATATTGAGTTTAAAGATTAAAAAAAGAAACGTATGATCTGAGAGCTTTTGTTAATGATTTAGTTTTGTTTCTACAAAACCTCCAAAATGGAATGGAATATTTAATGAAGAAACTGAATGGCATTGGTGCCTTAACTGGCTTGAAATTATATAAACAGATTAATAAGTACCCATCAAACAACGCAGAAGAGAAGTAGAAATGTTAACTCTACACTGACTTATTTAGAGTAATATCATAGAAACAAATCACAGTATGAATACAGACAACCAATTGATTTACATAAAACACTAGACCATGTGTTCTTGCTTCACTATTATATTGCTTTTTGGATATTACTACAATAGATAATTTTTATTTTTTAATGGAAACACAATGCATATTACTTAATGTTAATATTCATTAACACATCGACATTACACAATGCATATTACTTAATGTTAATATTCATTAACACATTGACATTATAATTTTGATAATATATTGCTCAAAATACAAATTTTGATAAGCAAGGTGTTGCTGCAGATGTGGTATACAGTCTTCCTTTTAACATTGTATGTATTAATCACTTATCCATAATTATTATTACCCGTATATATTAAATAAATTTATAGTTCTTGATAATTTTCAAATAGTAGGGGTATAGAAAAATATATATGTGTTTAATGTAGCAATTAATACACAATTAGATTAACAGGAGTCAATTTCAGCCCCAAAGATGACAATAGGAAGACCTGTCCTGACCACAAGAATCCCTGTTCCAACTCCTGAATAGAATCTCCATCAGCAAGACAATTGCAACCGGCCATTTGGGACATCCCCTACGACAAGGAATGCATTGACACTCACAAAGAATGAGCTAGATAATTTTTCTGTTTGGGATTTACAAAATAGATTTGTTAAAGCTTTAAGAAATTTTGTGGGAAGGGACAAAGAAAAAATGAAAAGAAATAGTTTTATGACATTATTTGATCAAGATTGTTTAAAAAAATGAATTAAATATAAATGTGTTTTATTTAAGGTTAAAATAGATATCCTGTTATCTCTGGCAAGTCTTAATAAACTTTTGACTGAATGATAAGGTTTTAAGAATTTATTTATAGATAAGAGATGGGATATGATTATTTGTTGTATTTCAAAAGAAGGTGATAAGTCACTCAAATTGTTTGTACTTATTGTGGTAAAGGGATATATTCCTTATAGATTTCTTTTCATTTTCTTTATTATATTTCTTATTTTTCTTTCCATTCTATTTTTAATTTTCTGAACTACATTTTCATTTATCCTTTAGTTTGCATTAGTTTTTGTTTAATTGTAATTTTTAATGAAATTATTATTTAAAAAAGAGATAGTAATGGCCTCTGGACAAAACAACATATGCTTGAATTGAATACGTTGCCAAGAAATGCTCTGATAAATCAAACTACATTTTAAAAAACTGACAAAGAATGAGTCCTTCAGAATGAGTTGATCTAAAATAATATAATATGAAAAAATCAATTTACTCAAAAAGGTTTATATCTCAATGGAGTCTTTTTATTGATAAAAGGGTCCACAGTATATATTTCAGAGCTGTACACCTGATGCCCCAGCTTTCAGGATTTCCCTCATTAATTTTTAAAACAACCACACCTCCCTCCCCCTTCAATTTGTTATTGAGGAAACTGAAAGAAAAATCTAGCTCAGAAATAAAGCCAAAAATCAAATGGGTCCTTGGTGCTCTCTAAGCTTGGTTGTTTTCTTGCAGACATTTCATTACCCAAATTAGGTAACATCATCAGTGCTAAAAATCAAGACATATAAAAGGCTTTCTGAGCATCCAAATAAATTATAGCTGTTAGACTCTACTTATTTTGTAGTACAGCACAAACATAATTAAAAACCTGATTATGTCAGAAGCTTGAAATTCCTGTATAAATCTAGCCTGGGCTGTGTGCATGATAAAAAATAAGCTGTAATCTACAGACTAAGGCATCTATTAAAATCTTAGCATTCATATCTATCAAAGAAGTATAATTAGAATACATAGTTGAATCCATGTCTGCCTTGGAAACAGCTATAATATTTATCTCATCAAAAGGGAAACAGGAAGTGGATTTGGAAAAAAAAGATCTACAAAAGCAACACTTACCAAAACTTTCACAAGCTCAAAGACAAAATATGAATGAACCTATAACAACTTTTAAAATATCATTTTCACACCATTAAAAAAATAAAAATAAAGCACCAGGTCTGGATGAAATCTCGAATCAAAATTTTAAATGCTTTAAAGACAATTCTTACAATTACTGAACCTAACTTTGCAGGACTCTACAATGCCTCAGTCTTGGAAAGAAGTCAATATAGTGTTATTGCTAAAAGACCAGGATGTGTCTCTAACAAAAAATTATGGACGAATCTCATTGTTAAATAATGATTATAAACATTTTACTACAATATTGGCCGAAAAATTGAAAAAGATTTTACAGACCTTTATTCAACATCAATCTAGGGCAGGGGTATCAAACTCGATTTCATTGAGGGCTGCATCAGGGTTGTGCTTGTCCTCAGGGTGTGTGTGTGTGTGTGTGGGGCCAGCTCAGCATCACTCATGTCGGGAGTGGCCCAAGTGCTCTGGCAGCAAAAACGGGCTCCCAAGCTGTTTTCAACTGCGACAGCTTCCGGCAACCCTCTGCCAGTGAAAACGGAGCTCAGGAGAGCTGCAGGCGGC